GACCCTAGCACGTTTAAGCTGTCTAAGAAAATAAAGTCGTTTAGACGCTTTCTTGATAGTTTCGTTAATGTGTAAGTTCCAAGAAAGATTGTTTGTGATAGTCACTCCAAGTAGTTTGTTATTCTGAACAATTTCTAGTTCGTGACCATTAATGAATAAAGATCGTAATGAATAAAGACCGTTAATGAATAAAGACCGTAAATGAATAAAGGTGATAGATCAGCATTGTTCTTAGACTGATGATATACGAATTTCCTTACACTTTTCGGTGTTCAGTTGGAACCGGTTGTCAACGGACCAGTCCGCCACAGAATCGACCTATTCTTGAACGTTACTTGACTGGCTTTTGGGAATTATTTCGGAAACTGCTGTATCATCTACATACTTCCATAATGATGCGCCGATAATGGACAAGTCATTGATTATGATGACTAAGAGCCATGGGCCCAGTTTGGTATCCTGAGGAACACCAGAGGGCACCGAACCCCTTTCAGATACGCATCCTTCGGGCAAGTTTTGTTCTTTGGTGACGGTTGGTAGGGAAATCGATTATCTAATTAATGATGGAGTGTGGCAAGATCAAAGTACATAGTTTAGCGGTGAGGATCTTGGGATCGATCAGGTCGAAGGCTTTCTTGTAATCAAATAAGATAGTTCTAACAGAGGAGCCGTTGCCATCTATAGCATTCGCCCAGCAATGAAACATTTCCAGCAAAGCTAGGTGTCACCTAAAGTGGTCACTACGCTGACCAAACATTCTTCGATGTGTAAGAACTGTATTTGATTCCAACGAAACTTTACATTGAACGAAAAAAAATGGCGATTAAACTAAAAACCAAAAAAAAAACAACAACGCCGCGTGGTCTCGAATCATGTCATTATCACATGATGATAATCATAGTTACGTAAACCGTACAAATTGAACTTAATGTTATCTGAATTTATACAAGGTAATTATAGTCGCGACACTAGGGTCGTAGAGGATTTCGGTACAGCACCGTATTGGCGATCGTCTAAAATTCGTAAAGTGGCGGGCTTGACATAACGACTAAATCCTCAGTCAGTTTAGAAAGACATGGTGTTAGGGAAATAATATTAAGAGACGCAAAAACTAAACACCGACCAAAGAATTAATTCAGTGATTGAAATTCATTGATTAACCAGTCTAACGGCCCTATATTGTCTTATGTCGCTCCAGTTTTTGCAGGTGCAAACATTGGATGTATCACTGGATGCACATTCCAGATCTTTCATGGCGATGAAAAAGTCGTTTAGAACAGAAGAAAGGGTCCATTTGTTATCGAAAGTGATTAGGATAATTTGATAAAAAAAAAGGTAAATAAAATTTAAAAGAAAAAAATTACTATACTTAGGGGACTTAAAAGCAAAGACAGCAAAAGCAAAATGCGAATTTTACGGGGAGGAGTCACTCGGCCCCCAAGCCAGATCAAGAATAACTCCTATGGCGTGATTCGAACCCGCGACCTCGATAACCTCACCTACACTCGTTGCGCGCCCACGATTACCAGTCGACCATCTCGAAAGTCGCTACTAAATTTATATTAATTGTCGGTGTGAAGAGTTTACAAACACTGGGTTTGGGGTAGGGTGAGGATGTTTGTATGACTGAGAGTGCAATGGAGCGTGTCTGGTCAAGAATAAAGGAAATGAAGCATACAAAGAACTCACAGAAGTGATATCGACGAGAAATATTAGCATATGTGGTAATGGCGGAAAGCTTCGTTTACCGGGGCTCGTGAAACACGACGAATCGTACACTTCTCAAAGAAGGTATTAAGTGTGTATCATCGGCACAATGCCACATGCCTCGTGTCATGCATTTTTACCTTCATATATTTTAAATATACATTTCTTTTACTTTATGTGCAAGACAGGGCATTCATTTGTTAAATTAACATAGGCAATTACATGGGGCCACGACTCGGGCAGCATCTCTTAATCTTAGCATTTGACGCACTGGGAGCCACTCCAACTGTTCCGATGCTGGCGTTATATGATCGAATTTCTTATTGTTAGGTCTAATACATTTGGCAAAGTTTTGCACGTTTTGCAGTTTTGTAATGTTCTTCTTTGACGTGTTGCACTAACAATACAGATGAATGATAATATAGCCTACCAAAAACAAAAGCGTTAACAATTTTTATCAAAGACTGCTTATCAAGAATGTGTCTCACTCGAGCTGACATAGGCCTGGCAGTGCATCTTGACACAACTTCGGTGACATGCTCATTATAAGTTAGAGTAAAGTACAATATTGTCCTAAAATCTCTAAGCGAAGGTACTGGCATTATCTGTTTCCGAAGGAGAGTTGTATGGAAGTCTTCTGGCATGTGTCGTGTTCCTAGAAGTAGGAGTTTTGTCTTATATAGGTTTAGTGAGAGACTGTGTGTGCAGCACCAAGCGGCAATGATTCTGTAAATCTGCGGTCAGAAGAGCAGCGCCGTTCTCTTAGGTCTTAACTTGAAACGACAGGTACAGTTTGGAATCATTTACATAGTATTCCAGGGAACGCATGTTAGAAATGCTTGGGAGATCATTTATTTAGATGTCCAAAAGCGCTGGTTCAAGAATAAATCCTTTGGGAACACCATGTACCGTCATCCGAGATTATGACACGTTGGGATCCAACACGAACAGACGGTGATCTTTCTGACAAATAGCTCTTAAACCAGTCAAGTAAGATATTAAAAAGGCCAAGGACTCTTGGCTTCGCTAGAAGGAATGAATGGTCTAAACCGTCAGGAGCAGTCGTTTCTTTTTTGTCCACAGCGTTAAGTATTATGTCTGTCATAAGGATGTTTAATGTTTCTGTTGAGTGTTTGTTTTTTATTTCCACTCTGAGGTTGGGACAAGCGTTTCTTTCGCTCCAGTAATCAGGTTAGGGGCTGCTCCTTCACACACTTTGGAAAATGCAGGTATACAGGTAATAGGGACATGGGGCGTTTGTTATTTGGTACTCATGATCCACCTCCATTAGCAGTGGAATGACGACTGTTTTTTTTTGATAAAGAAGAACTTCTGTCAGAGTGGAAAGTATGCAAGACAGGGCATCCTTTATAACGGAACTTTTTCGAGCCCAACTGCCTTATTGGAGGGAAAGGAGTGTTCGACCTTGCGTATCTCAGAAAAGGAAATAGAATGGAACTGAAATTCCTCAATTATTAACTAGGAAAGCAGTGATCGCTGAAGGTATCTGTCAGGGTAACTTACCCTGACATAACATTTCAAGATCGGCCACTTAAAGAATAAATCAAATTGGCTGCAAGCCCCTAAGCTTTTTAAATGAACTATAGTGGAGGGATGAAAAATCGAGGCCACTGTCTCTCTCTGTCTCTCTCTCTTTGAGGGACATTTCCATGAGTCCTTTTAGTAACAGGAGAAATAGAAACATTCACTGTGATGTTTATTCTTCGTTGTTTAATCTGGTGATTTCAATTGATCACACAAATAACGAATA